TATATATTATATATAATTATATTATATATAATTAATCTAGTTAAACTCAAATAAAATTAATGCTGAAAAGAATTCCAATTGAGTTATTTTAGGTGAAATGGTTATATATCATTTTAGGTAACTTTACTTATAAAAGGTAGGTATGAAAAATATTTGAAATGGAAAGGAGCAACAGACTATAAACTAGAGGTAATTTATCAATTGCTTTAAAATACTACTGAAATAAAAATACAGTTTGAGTAGGAAGCATTGCTAATCTCTTTGAATGTATAAGAGTTAAGGACAGATTATTGGTAGTTAAATATTTGTATTCACATTCCTTTTCCTTTCCCATGTTATTCATAACATAAACCTTTATATGTTTCCTTCTGGATTATCTTAAATCTTTTTAGTCCGAGGTTGGTTACTCTCCACAATCTCCACTATTTCAATGTATATTATGTTTCATTTTTAAAAATTTATTTTTCTCTTTATTTGCTAAGGTAATAAGAACTAATAGTGTTTAACTAAGAAATAGTGTTTAACTAAGAAAATACAACTGTGTTAAAAAATTTCATGGAACACATTCATATATTATGTTCCAAAGCTACATGTGATTTTTTGAAACAAATTATCTATGCCATTGTATCTCCATAGAAATATAATTAAGATCTGGCAATAAATCACTGCTTTTTATCTTTTTCTGGTGAGCTGACCCTTTTTTCATTTCTAATGTTCTTTTTGGGTTTTGTTTGTAGGTTGGTTTGTTTTTGGTTTTAGTATTGGGGGTTGCACCTAGAGCCTCACTTCTGAGCTAGATCCCACTCCCTTTTTATATAATTTATTTTAACGTAGGATCTTGGTAAATTGCCCAGGGTGAGCTCAAATTTGCTCCTCCTGCCTCAGCGTACTAGAGTGCTGGAATTACAGGCATGTGCCACCATGTCTGGCTTGTAATGTTCCTTTTCATCTCTGGTAATCCTTGTTCTGAAATGTACTATGTCTAATACTAATACAACTACTCCAGCTTTCTTTTATTAATTTTTGATGGTATAGTATTTATATTCTTTTAATATTTCTGTCTTTGTTTAAAAAGTTGGGTTTTTTTTACACTGTAAATAGTCTGTGCTCCCTTTTTCATCAAGTGTAATCATCTGTATCTTTAATTGGTATGTTTCGACTATTTACATTCAACATACTTATGATGTTGTTGAGCTAACATCTACTTTCTTACTAGTTGTTTTGTATTTGTCCCATTTTTTCTTATTTCTCTCTTTTTGTTCTGCCTTCTGGATTGATTGTGTTACTTTTGCATGGCTCTTTTCTGTCTTTATTGTTGGCTCATTGTTAATACTACTTTTTCTAACTTAGTGGTTGCCATAACATTTGGAATACACATATGAAATTTATCAGTATATCTTTAGTATTAATATTACTTCATTAAGAACCTTATAGCATTATACCTGTATTTCTTCCTTTCCATTTTTATGCTGTACATTTATGTATACAAATATGATAAACTCCACAATACATGGTTACTATTTTTGCTTTGGACCAGTGATCAGCAACTTGTTCTGTAAAGGGCCAGACAGTAAATATTTTAGACTTTTTGGTCATGAGGTCACTGTCACAACTAGTCACTGTGCTGTTATAATGCCAGCGTGGGCATAGACAATACATACATGAATGAACATAGCTGTTTTCCAATAAAACCTTATCACTTTATAATTAGAAGTTCATATCATTTTTATATCACAAAATATTTTTTATTTTTCATTCACTTAAACCATATAAAGCTATATGAAAAGCTGGGACAGGTACAGTGACAGACCTCTGTAGACCCAGCTACTCAGGAGGCTGAAGCACCAGGAGGTTCACTTGAGCCCAAGAGTTAGAGTCTGGGAGGCATAGTGAGACTCTGTCTTAAAAAATCAAGTAAAACGAGCAAACAAAAAGACAGTGTTAGCTCCTGAGTCATATAAAACTAGTGGCAGACCAGATTTGGCTAGTGGGACATAATTTGTTGTACCTTGGTTTAGGCAGTTAATTCACTTTTAGAGCAATTAAAGATGAGAAACTTATCTTCTAAATTTGCCTTTTATTTTTCTGTTTTCAGAGCTCTTCATTTCTTTTTATAGATCTAAATTCTTGCCTGGTATATTCTTTCTGCCTGAAGAACTACCTTTTCTCATAGCACAGGTCTGCTGCTGATGAATTTTCTCTAGCTTTTATTGTTTGAAAAAGGTCTTTATTTCACCTTTGGTATTAAAAATTTATTTTCTGTGGGTATAGAATTTGGGAAGTGACATTTTCCTCAGCATTCCACATTTGGGCAAAAGTAGAATTTATGGGTTTGTTTTGAAAAACCAGTGCAATAAAAGTATAATATGTTTCTTCATAGAGTCTATTCAGAGCAATGACTTAAACAGATTATTGTTCATAATTTCCTCAATCATATATTCAGTTTAATTGATATAAGATCACTAGTTTGTCTCCAAGGCCAGCTAGTGAATCATAGCAGTTGTTTTTGTTTTCATGAGTTTTTACAAATAAAATAGCTGAAGTCATTGTATTTTCTCCTTAACACAGGGTACTAGTTGCTTCTTGCGCTGGATCAGAAATCTGGATGATGAACTTCATGCTATTATAGCTGGTAAAGCAATGATAATATTATAAAAAAGAATGATTATTGTTGGATAAGTCAGTGGAAGCAATGAATGCTTCTGGATTCTTCCAATTTCTGTTATCTTCTTTTCTCTGTTGCATAGAATCACCCTGGAGACCCTTGCCCTGACATTTTGTCTGCACAGTTAATCATAGCAAGGCACTCTTATTATCTGGTGTTTTGGGTGGGCAGTACCATGACTGTGTGAACTGTGCTGCCAAAGACCAGAAATCTTAGAGAAGTTGTCACAAGAGAGCAAAAAGGTTTAAATATTGTATAAATGATTAATGGAATTTCAAGTAGTTTCTTTAAAATTTCTTTTTAACAGTGAAAAATGATATATTTTATTAATTTTATAAAGAACCTAGATTACTTTATAAATTTTAAAACTAAACATTATTTTCCAAAGTACAGTATATACACTACTTAAGTTATATAGATAACTTTTTATCAGATAATTTATTAGTGATAATGCTATTATTAATGTTCCACCCATTTTCCATTTAATAGGTGAATAAATATTCTAACTTAAAATCAGCAGTGATTTACCAATAGCCTTATAAAACATATTTGAAAAATTTTTGTTTGTATTTGGCAAGGCTAAAACAGTTTTTAAAGTTAACCTTGAAATGTAAAGTTTTGTGATATATGTAAGTTAGAACTGTTTATTTTTAACTCTGAAATTCAGGTTTTTTTTTTAAATTTTAAAAACGTGTGAGTATAAAGACAGAGTCTTTTTGTGTTATCAGGTGATTACTGTACTTGATATTGCTGTAACAAGAAGCAGTGCTATAAGTGATTTCTTTCCTGTATAAGTGAATTAACATTTTTGATGTTTTTGATTTTTGATTGAATACATTGCAATCTAATCAGCTTTTCCTTGCTTGCTATTTCAGGATTTTTGGCAGGTATATCAATGATGTTTTACAAAAGTACAACAATTTCCATGTATTTAGCTTCCAAATTGGTGGAGGTAAGCTAACATTTTATGCATGAACAGTTCCAAAGGATATAGAGCTTTTCAATTTTTTTATCCCCTTTCCACCAACACCCCACAGTTATCATTACAATATATACTGCAAACATGTATTAATAAAAATTTTTTTAAAAGAATCTCAAAAAATATAAAGTGTTTTTAGTTGCTAATTTCTTCAGTGGCAAATACATGTGTCCCCTTTACAAAGGCAAATTAACGTTCTATAAAAGTATTTGTAAAGTCAATTCTCTCATTTGAGTGTGTGTCTGTGCCATTTTCAAATATTAAACTCATGTAGAAAGAATAGAAGAATAAATTACTTTAAAGTGAATCTCAGACATGTTAGCATTTCATCTGTAAAAACTTTGGGATGAAGACTTCTCAAAAACAAATATAATTCCGCCATAATATAAGCACAATGTCATTATCGTACATTTTAGAGAATCCTAATAATTCCTTATTTATTATCATATATTGAATTTTAAATGATTTCATCTTCACTGATATCTTATAAATGTCTTCGTGCAATCTCCTTGAATAAAGGTTCAAGCAATTAATTTGTAATAATATCCCTTCCTCTTTTGTCCTCCTTTTTCCTTTCTTTTATTTTTCCTTGCCATTTATTTTTTTAAAGTACAGATCATTAGTCCATGGAATTTCCTACATTTTGGTTTTTGCTAATTGCATTCCTGCTGGTGTTTATTATGTTCCTTAAACTCACTTGTTTTCTGGAAACTTAACCAGCTCTATAGGCTTAAGCAAATTCAAATGTAATTTTTTAGGGGGTTAGGGTGGTGGAAATAGTTCACATTTACTTTGTGTGTGAATGTCCTCTTTCACTACATTAAGAACCTCAGTAGTGTCAGGTTGTTTCTTTCTTTTTGTGCTGCTAAGATTAATCAGTGGACCAGGTGTTGAAAGAACCAACCTGAGATTCCCCAGTAGCCCTTCACTTAATAGTTTTAGCAGCCATTATGGATCATTATTGGGATTCATTATTTCAATTATTCATTATTATTCAATCTACTATTATTGTTTTTTCCATATTCATTAGCTAAAATGCTTATAGAAGAACTTTCCCTTTTCAAATATTTGGTTACTCAGAAATAATTTGTTCAGGGAAGTGAAGCAAAATGCTTAATTATTTCTCTTTTTTATCAGCATTCAGAATGAGTACCTTAGCATCCCACCAAATTGAACTGTGAGTCTTTATTTTCAGATACTATTATGAGGCTGTGGATTTTTTTTTTTTTTTTTTTTTTTTTTTTTTTTTTTTTTTGGTACCAGAGATTGAACTCAGGTCCTTGTGCTTGCAAGGCAGGTGGCAGAACCACTGAGCTAAATCCCTGGCCCGAAGCTGTGGATTTTAACACACTTGATTCATTTTATCCTATTGCATTTATTATGCTCAGATTGTCCCCTTCTTTGCCTTTTTTTTTTTTTTGAGACAGTTTCAGTATGTAGATCCTGTTGACCTTGACTTCTTGCTTGAGCCTCCCATGTGCTGGGATTTACTTCTATTTTTTGACATAGACCATTTTCTTTGAAATTTTTCTTGCTATAAATCAAGACAGTCCAGGCTCACGTGGGATATTTTCTTTCTCAGACATAGAATTACTCTGTTCTCTAATGGCTCCTAGTTTCTTTTAGTGGGAAAAGCTATTTAGAGGCTTTAATCTGTGAATCTGGGTGTCTGCTCATTGTTTCTTGGCTTTCCCAGTAAACAGAGCTAGAGAATCCTTTTATTCTCCTTTCCTTTGAGGGGAGGGGAGCGGGAAAGGAGTATGGGGGAGAGAGAATATATACATCATGAAATACTGAAGATGCCACAGATCCTGTAGGGTTTTGAAAGCTAGTATAACTACTTTCATTTTTATTCTCAGTGTAGTTGAAAGGCCTTGAAGAGTTCAAAAGGTGAAATGACACGATTTAATTCACATGTTAAGAAGAGCTACTCTGGTTATTATATAGAGTGTACTAGAGGGAGATAAGACTTCTGGGAGCTAGGAGAACATGGTCTCTTGCAGGAGATGGTAGCTTGTTCCAGTTGCAGAGATGGAGAGAAGTTGTTATGGTTTGGACCTGAAATGTGCCCCAAAGGCCATGTGCTAAAGGCTTGGTTATCAGCTTGTGGTGCTCTGAGGTGTGGCCTAGTAAATGAAAGTGAGGTCGAGGCGATGCCCTCGAAGGTGATATTGGCAATCTGCCACCACTTCCTTCTCCTCCTCTCCTCTCTGACCCCTCTGCTTCCCAGCCACCATGAAGTGAGTAGCTTTGGTCCAGCACATGCTCCCACTATAATACTCTGCCTTACCTCAGATTCAGAAGCAGCAGGTCAGGTGACCATGGACTGAAACCATGAGCCAAATAAACTTTTCCTCCTTTCAGTTGAATTTCTCAGTTATTTTGTCACAGTGATGGAAAACGAACACAAAATTACACAGGGATGGTGCTGATTTAGGAGTAGGGTTGACAAGTCTGCTAATGAAAAAGAAAAGAGGAATAAGAAATAGAAAATAACTCCAAGGTAGCAAAATAATATTCTTTGACACAGAGGAAACCTAGTTTGTAAGGTGTTTTATAGTTGTTTCCTTGTGAAGTTTTTTAAGGCAACTAATGTTAGCTCTTTGTTTTTTATGTCACCTGGTTATAGCTGATTTTGGTAAATTAAACTTGTTTGGAATGTGCTGATGAGGTTTTTCTATTAATAAGAAAATAGAAATGTAAGCTTACCATGCCCTTTGTGAAATTAATTAAAATAGTCTTTCAGGCAATCATTTTTCTATGATTTAAGTTAATTTTAGGTAATATATTGTATACCTAATGAATAAAAAAAATTATAGAGTGAAAATGGTATCAGACCAGCTGCATTGTGTTAGCTTTCTGTGACTGTAATACCTGAGATAATTCACCTTATAAAGAAAGAGTAAAGATTTATTTTGGCTTAGAGAAAGAGGAAGAGAAATGAGATATGAGATGTACATTCATGCCTGCTGCTTAAACCTATATTTTCTCCCTTATCTAGTTAATCCTTTGCATCTTATGAGGCAACACTATAAAAAAGTGTCAACATCAGACTATTGTGTTCATGAACTGTTTATTACCATTCCATGATAATATAAGCATAGTAATAGAGAGTAAGCATTGAGAAACTTTTATAAAAGCAATTTGACAGATTAGTGTTTTACCTTTTGAATTTCATGGTATAAATTTGGCTCAATTATTTGTTTTTAAAATTAAGTTTATGGTACGCTTTAGGTATACCTTATGATCATATTCATCATTGGGAATTTCTATCTGTACGTGATATATCTTGGTTCTTATTTTTTCCCATTTGTATTCCCTCCCTTCAACCCCTCCAACTCTCCCTATTTATAAAAGGTTTGTTTCTATTTTTTCTTTCTTTTCTCATTTTTAAAATTATTTTTTCCATAATTCATTTGATTGTATTATAATCACATTGTCATAACAATTATAAGTTAAAGAAAAAAGTGGTGGTTCTTCACTGCAGATGGTTTTAGATGTAGTCTTTCTGCAGTTCTTCTGTTCCAGAAAAAGTAGTTAGTTACTCCTTCCTCTGAGGAGACAAGTTTTACTTGCATGTGTGCATGCACACACACACACACACACACACACACACACACACAATTCATGCATCAATGATACTTATTATACAGTGTAGTTTGCTCATGTTAAATCTCTTGTTCCTAACATTGTGTTCAGCATGTAGTTAATATTACTAAATTTTTCCAGAGTATATTAATTAATAACGGAATGAACAGATCTAACAAGGAAGGGAGAACCTAAGCACTTACAAAAAGCATTGGAGAATAAATGACATAGACAAAGTGCTGTTGAATTTTATAGAAAAGTATTGCTATTCGAAGTTGGGGGTTGGAGTGACGGAATGAAGGTAAGGGGTGGGCTGACACTTGACATTGTTATACAAAATATAACATGATTTGAGCGCTGAGGGAAGTATTAGGTTTCACCAAGGTAAAGGACATAGTTAAGGGTAGGGGACATACTGCCTAATAGTAGTGAATGTTATTTAGGTTTTTTTCTTTAGATAACTCTTGCCTTATGCTTGTTTTGCAGACAATATATTTCAAAGGCATCCAAGCAGGGAAGGTTCCCTATTTTCCTCATGCAGATACTATCATTTACTCCATCTCTACAGCAATTTGTTTCCAAGCAGTAAGTATAGCTTTGTTTTTTTTGGTACTGGGGATCAAACTCAGGCCCTTGCACTTGTCAAGGCAGGTGGTAGCACCACTGAGCTAAATCAAGGGTCCAAGTATAGCTTTTGAAAGGAGAAATAGAAATTTGTTTTTAATTTACATCAATCTAGTGAAGGAAAATTACATCTTGGAAACATTTCTATTTATTTTTATTTTATTTTGTGGGTTTTTTTGTTATTTTCCCTTTAAGATAGCTTAAATGTTTTAAATCATTACACTTATTAACATTGGCCAGGCCTTGCTTTATGAGCAGACCGATTTTTAGGCTTAAAATAGAGCACAATCTGTAGATAAATCCTTCCTCTAATACAATGAGTAGAATGCTCTCATTTAATTATCCTTCTTCAGGACAAAAGATACCTTGGGCATAAATATGAATGATTGCACTTTCCCAGCATGACTTAGAGAATGAAGATGAGGGAAGAACTGGTTCTATACAAGTGCTGTTTGGGCTGGGGATTTAGTTCAGTGGTGCCACCGCCTGCCTCACATGCACAGGTCCTGCCCAGGTTAAAAAGAAAAAAAAAAAAATAGAAGTGCTGTTTAATGTCTTGTATTCTGTAGTGATCATTTATGTTACTGCTAAAGGGCTGTTGCAGAGTTTCTGGGAGAGATTTTATTTACTCTTTTCTCACAGAATGCTGCTAAATGGATTTATGAAAATCAGTGAAGTGTCACCTATCTAATGGGTATTTAGTAAATGCTTTCTGATGATAATGACTGTTGACTTGATTATTTAAAGTGTATTTACAAAGATTGTTGATGACTATTGACTTAAACACAAACATGTTTTTTATTATTACTATCATTTGAAAAATACAGTGAGCAATGAATCTAGAGAAAGATTTAGTCCTGTTGCCTAGGACTGTGGTTAATATTTGTATTTACTAAAATAAATCTCAAATTGGATAATTCTAGGCTGTAATGGAAGTTCAGAACTTGCGACCGTCTTACTGGAAATTCCTTTTAAGGCTCACCAAGGGAAGGTAAGTGACGGAGATGTTTTGAATGCTTATAGAAAAACAGCAACTTCTATGAATAGTTTGTAAAACATTTTGTCTTCTTGAGGGAGTATTCTTTCAGTAGTAATGTAGGTACTTACATATAAATCCAGTATTACCAACTTACAAGAAATACATGGGACATCCTTTGAGTGAATATTACATTTTTTCTTTATAATATTTTAGATATTTTAAGCATTCTAGATTAGTATCATGTTGATTTGTAAACTAATTGGTCACAACATAATAGTGAAGCCTACTTTTTAAAATCTTGAATCTTCTCTTTTTGATGAAAAATGTTAAACAGATTAAAATGTTTTATCTTTATATAATTGTTTGATTTCTGTTTTGGAAAAATGAACATCTTCCTTTGCCTGATGTTGTTAAGTGTACTTTCCTATCGTTTTCTTCTCATCTCCTTATTCCCTTCTCCCTCGCTTGCCTCTTCCTCCTCCTCTCTCTCTCCCTCTTCCTTCTTTCTTCTCTCTTCTGCTCCCCCTCTTCCTCCCTGTTCTCCTCTTCTTCTTCCTCTTCCTTCTTTTTTCCCTCTCTACCTTTTACTCCTCTCCCTCTCTTCCTGTTTTTCCTTCTCCTTTTCTCCCTCTTCTCTTTTCCCTCCCCTCTTCCATTTTTTCCTAGTCTTAATCTAATTTTTAGGGAGACAGCTTGACCTAACAGAAACAACATGAACTTTAGGTCAGACAGACCTAGGTTTGACTGCAGTACTACGACCTTCAGTTTTTTTCTTTCGTCAACTTTTACTTGACCAAGTTTCTTTCTCTCTATAATGAAAGGATAATTTATATTGTCTTAGTCTGTTTGGAATTGTTGTAATGGAACACTTGACACAAGATAATATAGAAAGAAAAAAGCTAGTTTGGCTCATGAGTCTAGCAGCTGGGAGGTCCAAATACCATGACATTGGTATGCTGACATGGGTCTTCTGGCTGTGACACAGTGTGGCGGAAAAGCAGAAGGGGGACTGGCCACATGTAGAAGGGCCAAGCACATCTTGCGACTTGCTTTGTAGTAGCTACATGTATAAGGGCCAAGCACATCATGGGACTTGCTATATAGTGGAACTAATCCAGCCTTCCAGAACACAGAATACTCTGCAAAACTAGCATTAATCCATTTTTGAGGGTGGAGTCTCTGTTACCTATTTTCCTTCCACTAGGGCTCCACCACTTAAAAGTTACACCACTTCAATTCTGCTACACTGAGACCAAAGTTCTAGTACGTTAACCTTAGGGGGAACAAACTATAACTAAACCATAGCCCATATTATCATATGGTTGTGGGAAATTTAGGCTGGCTGTACCAGTGGCCAGTACTCTGTAGACACCAAATTACAGAGGCTATTGATATTGCTGTCAGTAATGATAATAGCAGATGCTTCCATAGTGCTTACAATGCCCCACATATGGTTTTAAGACACATGTACATGTTACCTCTGTATTTAATTCTTCAGTTTCTTGAGATAGGTACTGGTATCATCCTTGTTTTGCATATGAGGAAACAGGACCACTGAGAGGTAACGAGGCTTGCCAGGGTCACACAGCTCATAAATGAGAGAGCTGGGATTCTAAATGGGCTAACAAATGAAAGGCAGTCTGGCTTCAGAATTGTCTGTTGTTTCATCATTTTTTGTCATATAATTTTCTTCACATTAATGAATTTTACCAGTTAATTATTCTGGAAGTGAACTTAGTTTGGAAAAGAACTGAAAGTCACATTTATTGGCTCTTGGAATATTGCTGCTGGACAATGATTCAAAAGTAATTATACTTCTCCTCAAGAAAAGAAATGCTTTGTGAATAGGCATAGAAGCATAAAGGTCCATCCTGAACGTTAGCTAAATGTTTGCCTTTTTAAAATTTGTGTCTTGTTGGTGATGGGTAACATAAGGCTATACTTTTGCTTTGCTGTATCTACTAGAAATTTACGAACCTATATGCTGTTTACTTCTTAATCATTAGACATTTGCTTAATTGAATGTGTCTCATTATGACTTTGAGACATGACAGTCTCAGTTATGAGGAAAATTAAATTTAACACCTTTGCTCCATTGGTAAATGTTACCTTCTTCCTTGTTCATTTAGTTTATGATTTCATTACTAGAAAAATAGTAATAAGCCTAATTTTCTGTTTGATACATTACAGTGAAAAGAACCCCAGAAAGATTCAATATTATGATTATAATCTGTGGTTTCAGGTCTTAAGAATCATGACTTCAAATAAAATATTAGGCAGTTAATTATCCATATGCCCTAAACCTGACACTGAGTTTAGGTCATTGGCCATATCAGCTCTTTCTGTTTCTCCATTTCAGGAAAACTAAGTCAAATAAAGTAAACCACTTTATTTTGTAAACTTTACTAATTACTTCTTCATTATATCCTCTGTTTTGCAGATTTGCTATAATGAATCGAAAAGTCCTTGATGTTTTTGGTACTGGTGCATCTAAACATTTTCAAGATTTCATCCCCAGATTGGATCCAAGATACACAGTTGTAGCACCAGAGTTACCCATAGAGTTTTCTTGAAGATGACTATAATTTATTGATGTGGATATATGTCTCATCATTTTATGCTGAAGAGTTAATTATGTTTAACACAGAGAAGGGGGCCCAAGCTCAAACTTCAGTGTTATTTCATTGAGAGATTTTTTGTTTTGTTTTGTTTTCTTACCAATCAGAAATACAGAAGCTTTTTAGGAAGGTGTTGCTTAATAATTAAGCTTCCTCTATAGCCAGAATCTAATTCTGAAATCACAATAGTGGTTGACATTATGATGTATTATTGATTAAGTTATTTCCATAAACAATGAGTGATCTATGTAGAGTATACTTAAAATTACTTTAAAAGATATGTTTGGTTCATTCCAATATAATTCCTGGTTAAAACTATGAATATTTCTACATTTTAGGATTTACAAAGGATCATGGGTACATGGATTTGGTCTGTATTTTTTTTTTAATTTGAATTGTTATTTGTAGCAGTGGAGTGTTAGGTTTGAAGGAATCTCCATGGACAGTGCTGCTTTAGTATAGAGCAATGTAATCAGAGAAGAAAGTGGCCATGTATATTTCAGGGATGTGAAAATGGGTCTTATCCCATATAGGTGAATGTTGTGGTGCCTGTGACATTCTGTCAACTGATAACATCATTTCTCCATGACCAGCTAAGCTGTTTGGCAGCCCAGTGAACCTACGTATTAATGGGTTAGAGACAAATGGAAATCCACACATCTGATATAGTTGAAATGTTTTAATCTTTTACAATAGGATCACACTTGAATATTTTAAAATAAATCGTTTAAACCTATAGAAATATTATATATATATTTTTTTTTCGTTTATAGAGACTGAATTCTTTATTGTTCAGTTTGTGTGCTCTTGTTTTGGAAGAGATCAAAGTCCCATAGATCAAAAGTTTTGTCAAGTTTAGCAGTTTGTACCTTCTCAATTGTTTCTCCTAAGTAATGGATGTGTTATGAGTAAAAATAGTGTTCAAATCCAGTGATTATTAAAAAGCCCATTTTATTATTAATTGGATTCATGTTCTCCAGCTTCCTTTTTCAGAAATCACTGTCATTCTTTTTATCTGGATTAAAGAAGTGACAAAATACAGTCATCGCTGATTATAAAAGTAATTCAGGGCAGCTGATGGAAATATGATCACTATTTCAAGTTTTTCAGGGAAAGGTTATTCATTTCTAAATAAGAAACTTAAATGGTTGTGCTGTCTACAGTCAATGTAACATATAAGAATGGTGGTATTTAAAAAAATAATTTTGTTGCTAAAAGTTTTAAGTCATTGTAAATTATTCAGTAGATCATGCATTGCAGCAGGAATTATAATCCAGGATTTAAAAATGCTTAATCCCATATTTGATTACATCGAGCATTGTACACTTTTGTTTATATATAATCTTACCCTTGGTTGCTATGGCAAATTGAAACCCAGCAAAAAGACAAACTGTACTACTGTGGTAACAGAGAGCTGCTGTTTGTCAGAATTTCACATTGTGATTAACTTTTGAGAGTGGACTTATCTCTTTGGCAATACTGTTAAAGGATCATTTTGGTTTCAGATTTCAACTTTGATTAGTAAGTGTAAATTTAAATTTTTAGTCACCAGAATAAAAATGGTGATTGGTACTGTGTTTACTTTTAAAATTGAAGTATTAAGGCACTGAAAAAGCGCAGCTACCTACAATCTTATTTTTTTCTGTTCAGAATTTATGTTTATAATATTTTTCCTATTAGGCTAAAAATACATTTTGATCCATAAGTTATTATTTTCACTGACATTAAAGACTGTGATATTGAGAGACAAATTCTGTTGCAATTTGCTGACATGGCATAGTAAAAATTTGCTGGTCAAAAAGTTGCATTTCAGTGAGTTTTTTTTAAATAAATTGAACTGATATTTTTATTTTATATAACATGTAAAATGAAATAACCATCATGAAGAGAACAATAGAGAATATGTAGCTTGAATGAGTAGTTAACTAGTTTGCAGTGGAGAATCAAGCCATTCAGTTTGCTTCATTAGGATAGACTCAAGGTACTTGTTCTAGCAAACAAAACAAAACAAAAAAATGTGTTCCTGAAAGTCAAAGTGAATCATTCTTCCTCTACTCAGGTATTGATTGACAATTTCTTGGCCTCATAAACAAAGTCAATTACATATCTCCATTCTAAAATTATTTGAATTGTGAAGAAATCATAGTTTTAGTAAGTTTCCACCAAACAGTAGTACTATTGAGTTCATTTCCTTACTAGTTCCTGTATTAATAAAATCCAAGAACTGATCCCACCCAAGATAGGGGTTGCAGACAATAAGTTATCCTCAGTGTAGTAGATTCTTACAGGTTTTTATCAGCTAATTTCAGTATCCTATTAACTCATCTCTGAAATAATATCTTTGCTTTTGTTAACCATTTTTCTTGAATTCTGCGTTGGTTCTGTAACTTTTTTCTTGATCTGTAGACATAGTTGTCATTTACCTATGTTTTGGCCTTCATTTGTTGCTTAGTTACTTACTTTACAGTTTTATCAATTTATTATTTGCTTGCAGATTTTATAATTCTTTTATCCAGAATGAACATATCTTTTATGATACAGCCCATATTGGGTATGAAGTTCACAGTATTTTCTCGTTACTGAATATACATCTCCCTGTAGAATCTGAGCTAACATTTGACCTAGTTAATAATGCCCTCCCAGAGTTTCTGCTTATATCTGTATCATATTCTTAAGTTTCAAAATCCTCTGCCAATGCACAGGTAATACCAAAATCAATGTTCTTAACTCTTAAGGGACTTCATCCACTTGCTGGTGTCAAATCCCTCCCATGGTGGTGGTTGAGAGGCCTCTTGGCAGAAAGGAAGTGTCCACCAGGAACAAGGACACAGATATTCTTGTTGCATTTGGAGTAGAGAAGCTAGTATTCCAGAAATTCATTTAATTCTGCCTGTGATTCATTTTCATATCAATGGCAGGTAGTTTGATTCAGCAACAAAGTTGTTCTTTGTTCTACAAAGGCAAAAGTATTCACTTCTGAATTTTGGCCTTATTATAAACTTTATCTCTCCTAACACCTTGACCCCACCTGTTGCTGCTTGCGTCCTCAATATTCATTTTAATTTCATGAAGAATTTAGGTAACTGAAAATGAGTGACTAAGAAAAAAATGTAAGAAAAATAAATGAATGAATGATTTTTTGTGAGACTGACATGGATTAGATGTGCCCTTTTAACTACCCTCCCCTCTCCTCTCTGTGTCTGTCTTTATGGATATCACCATCTGCCTCATTTCTATCTCTGTAATCACTATCTATATCTCTATACCCTTCTCTTTCTCCTTCTTCCTCTCCCTCTCTGCTCCTTCCTAAGTTTGGCTTTTTTTTTGCTGGGGATTGAACCCCAAGTTCATGTCAGGCAAGTGTCCTACTCAGTTGCATCCCCAGCCCAGCCAGCCTTAAAATCTTTTATGTTTGACCACTTTTTGCTCCTTTGTCCTTCTTCAGCTTTCTGGTGTTACTTTATGCTCCTTGAAATCAAGAGCCCGTGTGCTGATACCAGCTGATCAAATGAGGATCTCTACAGGGGCCATAACAATGGAATCAACATTTCTCGGAGCACTGATTTTTAAAAAATATATAGATAGCATGGAGGATAATTGCACAAATGTGAGAACAGATGTTCTTTCTTTCCCATCACTGCTTTCTTCTTGAGAGCTTGGTTGGAGGTTCTAGCAGGCAGTGCAGCTACTCGTATACCCTCGACTGAGGAAATGGTCCTCCTCTGTGGGGGGAAGTTGTCCTCTTCCACCCAGCACATAGCTTTCGGAATGGTGCATGTAGAGCGGTGAAGGAGGAAGGAGATACCTGCCTAGCCGACCACATCAGCTGAGTCAACCCTGGCTGTCAGTGGGGTGACAAACGTTGCAGCCAGATTGCCCTCACATCCACTGCTTTATTCTTGTTCAGATATTTTCCGACCAGCCTTTCCTAACAGGGTGTTTTTATGACCCAGTTTTGGCTAATGTGTAATAGAAGATCTGGAAGAATCTTAGAAAAAATTCCCCTCCTCTCTTAAAGGAAAGCTCTTTTCAGTGCATGCCTTTTTTTTTTTCCCCCTTGTTTCGACATTACTTGTTATTGAGTCTAGATCTGTAGTAGCAGTGTTATACATATGTGAGAAGTACCAAGATGAAAAGCCACTATATTAAATATGTCAGGGAAGAACCTGATTTCCAGATGACCTTCAGCCACTGAATGCCAGTAACCCACATATCTGAATGTTTTGAGACAATAAATAATCTGGAGTTCTGGATTTTTCAGTCACTTTATTATGGTGTGACAGTTAGCTGCCTTCACTTTAGTTGAAGTAAATTTCCTAAATTAGCTTCTTTGCAGATTACAAATTATATGTTAAATTCTATCATTTTCCCTTTACAGCCCTCCTTTAGGGTTAAGTTGGTCGTATGAATGGCATCTGTCTTAGTCACCTGCCTTGCCCTTCAGACAAAATCCTTGACATCCACAACTTAAAGGAGCAGAGGTTTATTTTAGCTCCATTGGTTTATTTTTAGTCCATAGTTGGCCAGCTCCAAGACAGAAAGGCATAGTGGAAGGGCCTGGACACAGGAAAGCTGCTCATGTAGTGGCAGCCAGGAAGCAGAAAGTGAAGAGAGGAACCAGGGAGGGAGATAAACCCCACCAGGTCGCATACACAGGGGTCCACTTCTTCCTATCAGGCCTCCCGTCCTAACACCACGCTTAGCTGTGATTCAGTCACCTTTGAAAAGCCCCATTTCTGAGTACATGAGACCGTAGCAGCGTCTTGGGTGTCAGATCCTTGTTATGTCATTTCTCAAGGACAGTTTTCCCATTCACATAGTTATTTCTCATTGCTGTGGCTTTTCAGGCAAAGAAAACTGGCTAGATCCATCTGAGGCAAAACTGGCAGTGTATTCCAGCCACAGAAATGCAAAGAACGTCCATAGGACCAAATTCCCACCTAGCTGGATGTATTCTTGCATCCCAGAACCTGCTTTCTGTACCAGAGTTATGGGAATGAGTATTTGGCAAGCAAACATGAGAGCATTGCTGAGCGTTTTGAGTGCTGTGCACAAGCCGTGTGTTCTGGTCCATGACACCACCCACCAAACATATGCTTGGTTCCACTTTGGTTCCACTTTGTGTACATTTGGCTCATCATATAATAGGAATTTATGCTCTTCTCAGTTCCTAATACAGTACCATTTGCAGACTTAATTCCCACTGAAGAGGCTGCTCTGGCTACAGCAGTTGAAG